TTTTGAAACAGCTTGAATCGTGCTGTAGAACTCAACCTGCAGAGCTTTGAAACAAAAATGGCAAAGTGTGTTAGAGGTGTTACAGCTTGCAATGGGGGCTTGGGATAGTTCAGGTGAGTTGATTGGAAGATGTTTGAACTATCTTTAGACAAAACGCACAATGGAATTTGGTTATGGCTTGCAAAATGCAGAACTTGCCCTGTTTTGCAGAAAAAACGGTGATTCTTTGTACAAGGGAGCTTGAGAGGCAAAAGGGTCATGTTTCAGGCTTGTTGGGAGGTATGGAACTTGTCTACAATGTTTGTGTAAGCTTGTCTTAACAGATATGTGAGATGGTGTATGTTTGGCAACTTTTCTTCTACTTGAAGCAAGAGAATGAAAGTGATGTTATAGCCTTGTACATGCCCTCCTATCAACCTGAACACAACACTCTTGGCCCCTATAATCCCTGGATTTGGTTTACAGTCTCAGATCTTTGTTCAAGGCTCAATGCTTAGTGTTTTGACATAAAGTAACTTTTGCAAAAATGGAAATATACCTTTTACCATTTAGGGCTTAATTTTATATGTAATGTCCACATGAATAAGAAAATCCCTTAACTCAATGGTTATACATTAAATTATGGAGTATAAACTGGTTTTGAGGCCTGCAAGCTAGCACCAAACATGTTGATTTGAAAATGCAAATTTGTATGAACATGCATTGGCCATGGACAAAAATGAGTTTTTGCCAACTTCAAGCATCCGATTCTCTCTAACCACAAGGGTGTTTGAGGAGTTCTTGGACAATTTGGAAAGCTTTGAACATGTACTATAATCCATATTTTCAATGCAACTTGAAATTCCAAGTGGAACTATGTGAAAAGTGGCCAAGAAGATGGGTCAAAATCCTGCCTAGATTAGGGCAAATTTTCTCTAAGTTAAAAGTTTTAGGTACCCTTGTTCCAAAAATCATAACTTGAGCTAAAAGCTTCTTTTAAGAAAACTTTGTGAATCAAAGTTGTAGAATTTGTGATGGACTACAACTTTCATGTTGCAAGTTTTGTTTGAATCCATTTGCATCTTGATGAAAAAATGGGACAAAGTTAGGAAAAAATAAGAAAATTTTATAAGTTAGAAAAATTCCAAGTTATGAAAATTTTCCATTTTAAACCCTAATTTGCATTTTTGGGTTTCTTTATGAAAAAGTTTCATAATTTGACATGTCTTGATGAAAAATAACTCTTGGCACTTGATTTTGACCAAAAAGTCAAAGTTTGACTTTTCAGTGTACAGTCAAATTTTGATCAGTTGACTGAAAAATTCATCTGTCAATCCTATGCACTTGAGATCTTTTGAACTTGTTGAATGAGTCAAGACAATATCATTGAGTCCTTGAGTCCATATGTGAGCCTGGTTTGCCATTGGCTAGGTCAAACATTCAAAAATTGCCTTTGTGCAGTCAAAACCCTAAAAATGACCATTTTGCCCTTTTGGTGATCTGATCAAATTTCTTGTGGAATGGTGATCAAAAATTGATCAAATGGTTCATATGAGTTCATAATGTTGATGTGGGTCAAATTTCATGAGGTTTGACTATCAATTGGCCACAGTTGACTTTTTCCCCAATACAACTGATTTCTAGGTCAACTGTCCAATTGACTGGGCAAAAATTTGAATCAAGGCTTGAAACTTGGTATGGGCAAACTTGTGAGTCCAACATGAAGTATGAAAGTCACCTTAGGCATTATAGGTCAAAACATCCCTGTGTAAACTCAAACCCTAATTTAGGTCAACAATGCAAGGAGGTGCCTTGAGCAGAGCAAACCCTAGTTTGATCTTGAGTTCCAAGAGTCTTGTGATTGAGAAAATATTGATGAAATGAGAGGGCAAAGTTTGGGGTACAACAGGGTGCCATATGTAACCATTGAAAGGCCCCCACTTGGAAATCGTTGAAGGGAAAACGCATCCCCGCTTATTTAAAAGAAAACTCGTACATAGGGAATGCCAAGCATATCCTCTGACTTTTATGAGGGATTTGAAGCACCCAGTTGGCAGGGGCACCCTCAACTCGATCCTGAGGGACATTAAATGCATTAGAAGCGTCTTGTGAAAAACACGACCTTTTACTTCGGGGCTCAGGCGCAACTCAAGCCAAATGATCGTCCGTAACCACAGTGTCACCCTCGTTGATATCAGACACGATGTCTTCCTCGACTGATTGTGCCATCGTACCTATAAAAGTAGGGGAAAATAATGAATTAGACATCATCAAATTCATACTTCCACCATAAATCAAGTGAAAGGGTGATGAATGTGTCGAGGAATAGACCTCGACCCAAGCCCTCGACAGCCAACACCAAAGTGTTCGACGCCTTACGCGAGGACATTTCGTCGAACAAGCAAGTTGCCCAAATCCTCCCCACCATTTTAGGGGACAACCCCGACGCACGTCAGAATGAAATTCTAGACCTATGAATCTTCACCCACATCCATGAACTTAAATAAACATCCATGAAGATTCATTTCAGAACCCATAAATCTTCATCTAGAGGTTCATCCGTTCATGGCAAAACCCAAATGTTTAATCTAAACAATCTAAGAAAAAACACGATCAAGATGAAATCACTTACTTGGAAAAGATTATCGTTGAATACGTCTACGATGGCGTTGGAGCAACAGATCCATGGGAGAACGTAGAAGAGAGAGCTTGAAAATGACAAATGAACCTCCTGATTCCCCTTTTATAGGTAGCTCACACCTGACGAGGGAGCATGCAAAAGTCATCACTTGGGCTCTTAGACTGCCCTATGTAATGATAGCACCCCAAACAACAGCCACGTGGGGCTCGTGAGAGGACACGTCGCCCACAATAGCCTCACACAAAACCACGCGCCTGTGCTATTCCACTCTCGATGGAGGGAAAACGCTCGACATCATTACAACGCCTTACATACAGACACATCGATGTCGTTCCACTCTCAATGGCGGGAAAATGCTCAACATCATTACAATGCCTTACATGCAGGCACATCGAAGACATGCACTCGAGGAACCTCCTCACCCCCTGCGAATCTAGGTCCCTAACGGGCACCATGTTGATATGAGCAGAAGATAAAGTCGACCTATAAAATTCTCTCCGGGCTGGTCGACCACACCACATGCGAATTTCAGAGTCCTCCTCGACATGAATCAAAGAGCCATCCCCGACGGGAGTTGACAGTTTCCCCTCTCGGGAAACACTTCTCGACACTCGAATTGATCTCAAATCATCACCCTTTCGCCTAAGACTACTTGCAATGGGGGTGTTGAATAAATTTTTTAATAGTTGAATTGCTCCAATGGATTGTTGAATAAGGTGTTGAATGTGATGGATTAATTTGTGTTGAAAATATTCAACATGTTGAATGAGAAATAAGTGAGGGCCACTTATAATACTTTGCAAAATATAACTAGTTGTTGTGATTGTCTATATTTTTATCTCACCTAAATTATTTGGAGTCAATTATTTTATAGAAAATCAATTATTTATTTATTTTCATTTTCACCAAAATTCATCATTTTTTTTGTCTATAAATAGAGCATTGATTCATTTGATTTGGACAAAGAAAAAAAATCTATTTTTTCTATTTAGCCTCTAATAAATTATTATTTGTAGCTCTAAACAATTTTTTAGTGAAATAAATCCCAACAATAACCCTCTTATAATCAAAAAAACAAAAACATAAAAAAGAAAATAAAAATATGAAATAAAAGTGGTGGGGTAAGGTGTTAAATTTTATTAAACAAAACCATTGTAGTGAGTAAAAGTTGGATGGGTGTTGAATTATTAGGTGGAAGAGAGAGAGAGAGAGAGAGAGAGAAGATGACGTGGAGTGTAAAAAATGGGAAAAATGAGTGTTGAATAATTTTTCCATTGTAGATAGTCTAAGGGAAATAACTTGGGGGATTCCTGTTCTGGACTTGACCGACACTTGCCCCACTGTTAGGGAGGTTCAATCCAGTGCCTTTATAAAGGCCAAAAAGCGTGCAGCCCAAATTGAGGGCCGTTGGGCATTTCCCCACGTGTCCACTAGGAGAACATGACTCATATGTCCATAACGTCATCATCCTGCCCTCTGAGAATAACAGGTCCAACTTTCCTGCTTTCTCGGGACAGTTGACTAGGAAGGAGGCGACATGATGGACTCCATATACCCGTAAATCCTGACAGTCTTCGTTATTGGACCTCACCGTGACCCATTACTGAAGATCTTGGTTCATCGCTGAGGGCTATATATACCCTCTCACTTGAGAGGGTTAGGTATCCATTCATCCATCCACACTTTTACATTCTACTTGCACTTATTCTGAACCTTATTTTGACATCAGAGTGTCTTGAATGTACTCCATCCCCCCAACTTTGCGTTCAACCGCTGCCCGATTTAAAGTTTGTGGACCTTGACGATCTCTTCTGATCAGGTACGATCAGAAGAAAAATAATTTCAAATTTTATTCTTAATCTTATTATTATGTTACTCTTAGTTCTGTTATGAGGGATTCTATTATAAAGTTTATTCACACAGTTTAGACACAAATATGAGAGCATATTATTGTTGAATGAGATGAGTTGAGAGAAATTACGCTTAGCCTTGTTATTATGACATTGTGATTCCAATCAAATTTATAACTAAACTATTTGATTATAGGATAAAAATTAACAAATCTAATAGTAAAAATATTGATTCATAATTTAACATTAGAGGGGACAATTTTCATTTTCTGGACCCAAGCTTAAAATAATAAATAGATGTCCATTTCATAAGTGCAATAATGTTTTTAAGACCAAAGTATGAGAGATATTGGAAATATAAAAATAAAAAAGGACAGAAATAGAAGAAAACCCAAGATAGTAGTAAGTATTATTGATGATAGTAATCAAGACAAATACACACGTAGGACACTCAAATAACACTTAGTAAAACAATCAAACTTTTAAAAAACGTGTAAAAGAGATGTACAACTACTTGGAAACATGATAAGCTAGGTCGAGCTAATGATGGATTGTGTTTTCATATCATAACATGAAATATCTTCTCCATAATCAACTCCAAATATGCCACAATATCTTACATAAAAACCCATTCGGTTAATCTCAGATTCAGCGAGCTAGCCAAGCCCACATACATCGTTAATTTGTTGGGCATAAGTCACCACGAACGTCGCCATCCCATATCCGGGATACCACCTTAGCAAAATATCTAGAGGAGAAGGACTCCATGTTTCGTCCATAACTTCGTGGCCATATGATGGCATAAGAGGTGTCGTCTAAAACCACAGAGCTGTCTTGAATGACATAAGAGGGTCAGTGGCTATAAGATCTGGATTATTCAGCAAATCAACACCTATTACTTTTTCACGCTTTCCATAAACTTTATTCCCACGTATCTGAAACGGACCTCTACCGTAGTATTCCTTTCCAAAAGCACATGGAAATTCAGAGCATGGTTCGCAGTACTTCTTGCTTGGGTTATTTTCCTTCATATAAGAATATCCCCATTCGATTGGGTATGTCGTGTCATCATAATCTTCATCATCAATCGTTTTCTGAGAACTTTGACCAAAGAAAGCCACAATGTCTCTTTTTTTTTACTATCTTCACTATGTCCTTCATTATCGAATTTCGGGAAAGAGATGGCTGCTCCAATGAAAGCTTCATATGTGTAAAATCCTTTCCCCTTACATTTTTTATCGTCTCGATTCTTGAGCATCTTGTTGAAATCTTTTAAGGAGATGAGATACTCTTCTGGAAGAAGAGGTGGTGGTAGAGGAGATGGAGGTGGTGATGGTGGTGGTGGAGGAGGAGATAGAAGTGGTGGGGGAAGAGGATGAGGAGATGGAGGTGGTGGAGAAGGGTTAGTTCCAGTACATTGATTCTGGAAACCTTCACTGCAATATATGTCGGTTGTGTTAAATCAGGAGCAGACTTCGAATGAAGTTTGTTAGAGAAAGAGACAAACTTTTATGTTTTGTTATTCTGAAAAAAAATACAACATTGGTCTTTATATAGACCCAAAGACTTCTACTATTCTAAGAAAATAACTGCTACTAATAAAAACTATTATAACCTATTATCTTTGACCTTCCAAATTACATTTGGTTCTTAACCTTCCTACTACCTTATTTAATAAGAAAACCCACTACTAATGACATTAAAGTTTATTCAACAAAACTCCTCTGTAAACTTAAATGTTTCTTCCATCCATCATGCCTATCATTTTCTTGCCTCTGTCGAAAGTTTCCTTCGATAATGGTTTTGTGAAGATATCTGCTGCTTGATCCTTGCTTGCTACATGCTTCAATTCGACACTTCTTTCCTTCACATGTTCTCGAATGAAGTGGAATCGAACATCAATGTGTTTGCTTCTTTCATGATTCACTGGATTCTTTTCCAATTCGATTGCTGATTTGTTGTCCACTTGTATTATTGTTGCACCTTCCTGTTTTATCTCCATCTTTCTCATAAATCTTCTAAGCCATACTGCATGACAAACGCACAAAGATGCTGCCACATATTCAGCTTCACACGTCGAAAGTGTTACTATCAGTTGATTCTTAGAAAGTCAAGTAAATGCTGTGTTTCCCATGAAGAACAGATATCCAGAAGTGCTTTTTTGATCGTCTATATCTCCGCACCAGTCACTGTCAGAATAACCAACTAACTTGTAGTCTTCTGTTCTTGAATAAAACATTCCAAGTGACACTGTTCCTTGGATGTACCTTAGGATTCGTTTCAATGCCTTCCAATGTGTGTGTACTGACTCCTCTATGAATCGACTTACAATGCCAACACTTAGTGAAATGTCTGGCCTTGTGCATGTGAGATAGCGAAGACTACCTACCAAGCATCGATATTTTCTTACTTTGACACGTTCTCCTCCATCAAATTTTGACAGTTTTGCACCTGATTCCATTGGCGTCGAAGTTGGATTGCAGTTTTACATCTTATATTTCTCTAAGATTTCTTTTACATATTTTTATTGTGAGATATAGATTCTAGTTTCTTCTTGTCGAACCTCTAGACCAAGAAAGAATCTCATCAGACCTAAGTCTGTCATTTCGAATTCGCGTGTCATGGTGCTCTTGAATTCTTCTATCATCTGAACATCACTGCCTAGAAAAATAAGATCATCAACATAGAGAGCAACAAGTAGTACATTACTTCCATTTTTCTTCACATAGAGGGCATGTTCATAAGAACATTTCTCGAATCCCTTCCTTTTGAAATATGTGTCAATGCGTGTGTTCCATGCTTGTGGTGCTTGCTTCAACCCATATAGCATTTTCTTCAATTTCAGTACCTTCTTCTCTTCTCCAATCTTCATATACCTAAGTGGTTGTTCGACATAGATTTATTCTTCGAGCACACATTTCAAAAATGTTGTCTTCCCATCCATTTAAAATATTGGCCATTTGAATTGAGCAGCTTGAGAAATGAGCAATCAAATTGTCTCCATTCTTGCAACAGGTGAAAACACTTCGTCATAATCAATTCCTGCTTTCTGTTTGTATCCCTTCGTAATAAATTGCGCTTTGAATCGTTCAATTTCTCCTTGGGCGTTCATCTTTTTCTTGAATACCCACTTTACACTAATGGGTTGACTACCTTTTGGCAATTCGACTAGCTCCCAAGTGTTGTTGCGGTCTATTGCTCTAATCTCTTCGTCCATGGAAATTTTCCACTTCTTGTCTCGTAACGCTTCTTCGACACTGATGTTTTCAGCATCTTCCAAAAGGAACAGAAGGTGTACCTCATTTGTCGAATCATATAAATCTTGAAAACTTCGCATTCTGGGTTGTAGAGGTTGATCTTCATATTCAGTATCTTCATGTTCTGTTGGGATGCTTGTTGGTACAACTACATATGTTTCTTCGACTGCGTCAATAACCTCTGTCGAATTGTTCCATTCCCACTTGCTTGCTTCATTTATTCGAAGGTCTCTACTCACAATCACTTTCTTGCTTATGAGGTCGAATAGCTTGTACCCTTTCGTCTTCTCATCATATCCAATGAATATGTACTTTTGACTTTTGTCTTCAAGTTTTGTTCTTCGCTACTCTAGTACATGTGCATAAGCTACACTACCAAATACTTTGAGATGAGAAGCTGTTGGATTCTGTCTGTTCCATGCCTCTTGTGGTGTTTTATCTTCTAACTTCAAATGTGCACATCTATTCTGAACATAAACAGCACATTCTACAGCTTCTGCCCAAAATTCTTTCGACATGTTCTTGCTTTTAAGCATTGATCGAATCATGTTAAGAATAGTTCGATTATTTCTTTCAGCCACACCATTTTGCTGAGGTGAATATGGTGCAGTTAGGAATCTCCTTATGCCCTGCTCTTTACAATACTTCATAAAGGCCATCGAAGTGTACTCACCACCTCTATCGGATCGAATTGCTTTGATATGTATGTCTGTTTCCTTTTCCACCATTACTTTGAACTTTTTGAACACCTCTAATGCTTTAGACTTTTCTTTCAAGAAATAAACCCATGTCTTTCATGAGAAGTCGTCGATAAAGGAAATAAAGTACCATTTTCCACTGAAGGATTCTAGAGTGATTAACCCACATATGTCAGTATGAATCAATTCAAGAATATGTTTAGCTTGATATCCTGCCTTCTTTTGAAATGAGGTTCTTGTTTGTTTGCTGAGCACACATTCTTCATAAAACTTTCCTTCATAATCCATGTCTGGTAGTCCATGCACCATGTTCCTTTTTGCCAACCTTCTCAAACCAGCATGATGTAAATGACCAAAGCGCATATGCCATAGTGACGCTTTATCTTGCATTTCGACTTGTAGACATTTCTCTCGAACGTTCCTTAGATTCAGTTCGTACATTCGATTTCTTTCCATTTCGACACAGGCAATCAGATGTCCTGCTTTGTCCTTCAAATGCAGTGTTCGATCTTTCATAGGTATCGAAACGCCTTTTTCTGTAAGTTGTCCCAAACTCAAGATGTTGGTCTTGAGATCTGGCACATAGTAAACATCTTCTATTGATCCAATCAAGCCATCCTTCTGCAAGTAATTGATTGTACCCTTTCCTTCGACCTTCACTTTCGATGCATCTCCGAAAGACACATTACCATCTTCATTTTTCTTCATTTCATTAAACAGGTGTTTGTAACCACACATGTGATTACTTGCTCCTAAGTCAAGATACCAAACATTGTCATTATTGGTGTTGATTTTGTTTTGAGCCATCAGGAGAAAGCCTTCATTCGCTTCAGGTTCTAAGGCTTGATTGCTTATTTCTTCAATCTTCTTTTCGATTCGACAATCTTTTGCAAGATGTCCCACTTTATCACAGTTGTAACATTTACAGGAGTTTCAATCCTTCGCGTAATTACCATGATTCCCACACTTGTAGCATTCGAAGTTGGAGTGGTTCGATCGACCACCTCTTTGACCATGTCCTCTGCCACGCTAATTTTATTGGTTCGATTGTCCTCTTTCGAAGTTGCTAGCTCGACCACTGTCACGACCTCCACGTCCACATCCTCTTCCTCAAAATTTTTGAGAAAAGAGTACCTTTTCGTCTTTGTTTGACTCTGTGGTTTGATTTGCTTCTTCGACTCCTTCTTCCTTATTTTTCATCTTTCTTTGTTCATGTGCTTCGAGAGAACCAACGAGCTCTTCAACTGAGAGCGTCAAAAGGTCCTTCGATTCTTCTATTACACACACAAAATTCTTAAATTTGTCTATTAAAGATCTCAAGATCTTTTCAACAACTCGTGCATCAGTTATTGTTTCGCCATTTTTGGTGAGTTGGTTCACCACCTTCTGAACACGTGTGATGTAGTCAGATACAATTTCTGTCTCCTTCATCTGTATCCTCTCCAATTCGCCACGAAGAGTTTGGATTCGAACTTGCTTCACTCGATCTACTCCTTTGAACACTTTTTCTAACGTGTCCCATGCTTCTTTCGGCGTAGTCGAACCAACAATCTTTTCGAAGCCTGATTCATCTACAGCCCTGAACAACATGTATAATGCCGTTTTATCCTTCGATCGCGTCTCTTTCAACGCCTTATTTTAAGCTGTTGTATATCCCCTAATATCTGTTGGTTCTTCAAACCCATCTCTGGTCACATCCCACGCGTCTAGAGATCCAAGAAGAGCTTTCATTTGGATGCTCCAGTTTTCGTAATTTGACTTTGTTAGCCGTGGCAACGACATTTGATTCATCATGTTTGCCATTAGCTCTGATGCTAATTTGTTAAATCAGGAGCAGACTTCGATTGAAGTTTATTAAAGAAAGAGGCAAACTTTTATGTCTTGTTATTCTGGAAAAAAAAATATAATCTTGATCTTTATATAGATCCAAAGACTTCTACTTCTAAGAAAATAACTGCTACTAATAAAAACTATTATAACCTACTATCTTTTGACCTTCCAAATTATATTTGGTTCTTAACCTTCCTACTACCATATTTAATAAGAAAACCCACTACTAATGACATTAAAGTTTAT